AATGGCAAGTGAATACTACCTCCTACCAATTCACGATATACAGTGCCACCGTCAGACAATGACATCGGCGATGTATGACGAAATCAATGTTTAGAAGGTGATCCCTACTTGATACAGTGATACGGTTGTTGTTGTTTTAAATTTTGACTTACCTGTGGTATTAATAAACGGTTCCAATTGGTTTTCCAAAATGTATACATGATACTTGTATCCACATTTTCTTCTTTTCGTATCTTCACATGAATAATGTAGCATGATATGTCCTGCAAGGATATCAAAACAAAAAACGTGACTAATATCGAGTGCATATATATGCACGTTCATACCTGTTATAATTCACTATTGCGCTATACGCTACTTCACATACAGATAGAATAAAATTACATTACAGATTACAGCTTATTCACAAAACGTGAAAATTCCAACCAACAGCATTCAGATGTTTTTATACTCCGGTCATAAAAAAATGGTTACAAATACATTTTCGCCAGATGGTTGTTTATTCCTAAAGGGTATCGTGGATCTACCAAAAAACTATGTGGTATAACTGCAAATCTAAATGATACTTCATTGTGATAAAAATTTTATAGCGTCAAATATGAATACGAAGGAGTGATAAACTTAACCAGTACGCTATGCAGATAACAACTGGTTTTCTTTAAAACTAGACTATGCATGAAAAGATAACCACCAACTCAGCCGCTAGTGTTTATGCCCTCATCTATGACTACTTCTCGGTTGTTGATATTTTATACAGAGCATCTAACGGTTAATGAACGAATCCAAAGTTGCTTTTTTAATGTGAAACTAGTAAGAAGACCCAACGGAACCTTAGGAAGGTCAGTCCATAAAAAACCCACTTGCAATGTGATAGGATCCCACACACTTTGTTATTGTTCAATTATTTTAACGACTGTTAATCTCGCATAAGTGGTATATCATCATTTCCCAGGCACTTTGTTATTGTTCAATTATTTTAACGACTGTTAATCTCGCATAAGTGGTATATCATCATTTCCCAGGCACTTTGTTATTGTTCAATTATCTTAACGACTGTTAATCTCGCATAAGTGGTATATCATCATTTCCCACGCATTTTGTTATTGACTATTACGACCAATTATTTCAAATACTGTTAGGTGTCTGTATTGGTTGTAAAAATGTATAAATACCATTTCCTAAATAAGTTTCTTTGTCGTCGTCGTAGTTGTTGTACTACAATACACAGTCACAGACCAGCTTTTGTCTTTTGATATTTGCGTGGTTCGCTGAATCGGAAGGTACCAGAAGCAGATAGGCATATTAGTCAGGCGCAGACAGAACATGGGGACAACGTCCTCATTTAATTTCCGCTACGGTTACAACACAATGGTCAACTAACAGGTTTCTACAGTGGGGTGCCTGCTGAATGAAAACGGATCCAACGCGGCATCTGCAGTCCTGACGCCCTAGAAGTATAACTGCATCTTCTGAAAGAAACCTTCATTCAAAATGGATAACCACCAAGAATCATCGGCAAGTGCACAGGAACGAAACATTACATGAACCTGGATTTCAGAAAACAGATAACCTGCGATACACTTAGGAAAAGAATTTCGGCATCTTTGAGAAGAACATTCTTCGCAGCAACGCTAAAAATTATTTTCTCTAGTCATCCATTGGTAAGCAGAAGCCTCAAAGACAAGATCTCGCATTTGACCACTTCTGTGTATACATATATCAGTTCACCTCATGCTGTGGAGTCAGATACATTGGTCTTTCGACGCGTCTCCTGTCCAAAAGCGTTCAACAACACTACCCCACTGCATGGTTTCAGAAAGGTAGTAATGACTCTGTAAGAAGTGAGATAATTGAACACCTTGTCAATACTGACCACTCCATCTCAACAAATGCTTCCTCCTTCAGAGTAATCTACAAAGTGAAAAATAAACTACCAAAGGCAATACGCATTCGTCTCCTTGTTGCATTGCCGAAGCCTTTGCCATTCAGTTGGAAAAGCCCGAGTTATGTATACAAAAGAAAATCATTCAACCACTTCTACTACCACGGCAACAACTGTGTTGACTTCTATTGACTTGATGCTTATATGCTCGCTTTTATAACTCCTAATAACGCTTGTATTTCTTTACAACTCTTAAGTAATTCCATATTTTCCTTCCTTACTATGTGCATCCTGGTCAAAACTCACACATTAAATTATTTATCTCATTCACCGAAAAGAGACTCTTTGCTGAACTACGTGTTGTTTTCATTAATATTTAACGATCCACTTAAGAAGACTATTTTAACTTCACTTGTAATATATCCCAGCTGACGATAAGTAGACACCTCAGACTCCAATACCAACAATGTAACAGTTTAAAATGAACACAATTTGTGTATGAAACTTACTATTTCTTCAACTGATGAATCTGAAGCACCAGATACAAGACCGATAACAAGTGAGTAGGTGTTACGTTTCCAATTATCAGAAGACAACTGGACACTTGCAGATACGGATATCTCTTGACTGCCAGGCCTATGACAGAAATGAGTAGGCAAGAGAGATGACGACTCACTTAAGTGTATATTTCTCAGCGGCATTACTAACAATATAGTCTTTAAGAGCATTATGATCACCAATAAGAGCATTGTGAAAAGACGATAAGGCAATATCGCGTAATACACAACACTTAGTAGATTTAATGCTTGACACGGTTATAAGTATTGGATCGCCTACAGTTGTGAAATAAGGAGAAAAAAATCAGCATTCTCACCATACATGTTACTTGTCGACGGTTGAAAACTGGTTATCACTGAATTATTGTACAGTTTTGTTGTCAGCATTTCAGACAGCATATATCCTCTTGTTAGCACAGACATGCCTGAATCAGAGTTTTGGCCATACAACCATGTGATACTAGAATGAATGTATGCGATGAATTGCTCTATATGTGCAAAATGAAACTTACAACTTCTCCTTCATAACTTTCATAATAATTGATAGTATAAGAAGAGCGAAAAATATTCTAATTAATAGGAACCGGATAAAATTTTGAATGTCCATCACACTGATTCACGGTTTAAGGGAATTAATTGTCCAACTGCTGTGGGTTTTATCTGGCCTGAAGATGTGTATCACTAGAAAAAGGTATATATGAAAACGTGCACACTGTACGCTTCGCTCAACCGATTGAATAAAAAGGTCTTTAAGCAATAAGACAAACATCTTGAACAAAAATAAATACATTTGGATGAAATCACAGGTGCTTTGAAAGCTTTTATCACGCATGCACTATAATATGTAGCAAGGCAGATACATGAAACCCAGAAAACGTTAGTTCTACTTCAAACTAAATTTGGTTGTATGAAAAAGCAATGAAAAGCCAATCAGGTTTTTCGTCAAGATTCCTGCCACAACAGGGTTTTTCAAGTATAGAACTTTGCACCGATGTGCAGCAGTTCGAGCTGCCACACTCCATGTAGCAAACAAAGTAAGAGAAGAAAGTAAAAGGAATAAGCGTGTATGTAACGTATAGATTATCACTTCTCTACCAATAAAATACAACTCAATATTTACAAACACGCTCCAGGTTTGAAAACCATATAGACGTAAAGTCTCTTGATATGGATTCACCAACTAACAGTTAACAAAATTCCTAGATTCAATATTTCCTCTAGTTCATTTCTATTACCAATCATAAAGTGGTAGTTCAAAATCAAATCTCAAAAACTGATAACGTGTGTGGTTAGGTGGCATGACATTGGCCTACCAGGCAAGTGGTGTGGAGTTCGATCCCCGATCGATGCACTCGTTTACATCATCTAGTCGGTAGTAAGCCCAGTAGAAAGGGAAGGTTGGGTGTGAGGCTAGAAACCCTACCCCATAAAAACAATATTAGTGTTATTGAAACTTGAAGCCCTATGTTCCACTGCGAACTCAAAGGATACAAATAATATAATGCTCACTAGACCGAAGCTCAATATGTTCCTCTTATTTATATTTTGAAGGCTACTACTCGTGTTGCATTGATATTTAGTTAGGCTTCCAGAATGAGATGAATGTATTTCCATTTACGAAACCGAGTCATTTGTGAATTCGTCGGTTTTAAGTGAATATACATTCTAAGAACTATTATAAACAGATCTAGAATACATCTCCTAGTGTTCTGGTCATATATCTAAATACACTTTATTGCTTGTCAAACTATTACAATGGAAAACTCTAATATTTCCCATAATGTGGATTTATGAAAAAAAAATTCAAACCAGTCCTGAAACATTTACACGAACTGTAATCATGATTTAACCGAATAATCCTGAAACTGTTTATACTCAGCAGAGAAGACCTGAGTGTCAACCGCACTCAGACTTCTCATTAATGATAGTTAGAAAATTCCATTTTATCATTGTCTTCGCCCAAAGTTACTTTACCATCTGAGTATTCTATATCAACCATAAAATCTAGTAACAAGTGAATTTCCATAAGGTTGGGATCAAACTGACTGATTTCAACGTAGGACTTTGCACCGATGTGCAGCAGTTCAAGTCACCACACTTCACTCAGCACAAAAAGCAAGAGAAGAAAGTAAAAAAGAAATTCAAAATAGATAAAGTAAACAGAGATAAGAGGCAAAAAGAATAGTAATATCGAAAACAATATAGTTTTATTGGGTATTATAAGTCACAAGGAGTGGATACATCTGCGCCATCATTGAGAACGATTTTGAGTTATATCACCAGTTGTCTCCAGCCACTGGTGTTTACCGTCCCGAGGACCCTAACCAGACAGCAGTCTACACCTTCGTAAGTGACTGGCTTAAAATGACTGTTGTGGATTTCATTGACTGATGAAGCCATTTTGGTTTCGGTTTGACCGTAGAGGAGGACAGAGCGGACTGCTGAGCAGTGCACACGCCCTTTGGTTGATAGCCAGATATCACGTCTTCGCCAGAGACGGCGTAAGCAGGCATATGCGAAACAAGCCTTCTGTATCTGTGCTGAGATTTCGTCAGCGATCAACCCGCTGGGACTGGCTGATACAACTTCCCAAAAAAGTGAGCTAGCCGACACGCTCTACCACTTTACTCCCTACCTTTAAAGCTAGAAGTCAATGAGGTACAGTCCTGAAGCATCGCATGCCAAACATTCGAAGATTGCAGCTCAAGGTGTTCAGAAGACTCTGCATTTTGTCACCATCTTTACCTAGGAGTATATCATATGCATATTCCAAGGCAAGGAGACTATTGCCTGGTAACAAGTCAATCCCTGAGCCGCTGAAGTCAGTTAGGGTTAAGTTCATTAGTACATCTATGACGAAATTGAATAGAAATGGGGACAGTGGGCATCCCTAACAGGCACCACTGGGTGTCACCTTTCCATTTGACAACTTCGTAGGCTCTTACCTGGATGCATGAGTTCGAGTAGAGTGCCTTGATCAGTGCGACTTATTTTCTTGGCATTCCTTTCACATCCGAACATCGCCATAGTACTTCTCAGTTGACGGAATTCATTGTTGCTTTCAGGTCAAGAAATATGACAGCTGTTGGATGCCGGTAAGTATGTCTATGTTCCAGAATCTGTCAAACGGTAGAGATATGATCAATACACCATCTTCCTGGTCTAAAGCCTGACTTATTCTCTCGTGTTTGTGCCTCTCGAGTACCAATTAGTCTACGCATGATTTTTAAACCTAGAGCTTTAGACACCATATAATCCCCCCGTGATTATCACAGGAAGACTTGTCTCCCTTCTTGCATAATCAATGACTTACACCAACCCGACGGGACTTCCTCTGATTCCCAGACGCTTCCTAGTACATTAGTTAACGCAGACAGTAAACTGTCTCTACCGTCCTTGGACACCTCTGGAGTCATTCCATCGGGTCCCGTAACTTTGCCTCGTTTCAGACTAGTGAGAGCTGTTTTAACCTCAGTTAGGGACCAAACAGAATCAAATCTATCAACGCACTACACACAGGTGGGTTAATAAAAGCGAAGTGTACTGAGGTAAGACATGCCGCCAACCAGTGAAGTCACTATGATTGCCTAGGGAAACGTCGACTGTTTACAAAACGTCTACAAAACCATTAGAACCAATGTTGTTAGGAGACTTGTAGTGGTAGACTGAACATTTACCACACTAATGTATATGCTTCGTATTAAGTGGTCGGAGGCAATCGGCAGGAAGCCTTGGACCTAGGTTTCGTGCTAGTTGGCACTCATCAGCAGGGCGTATCTGAGACCTCGAAGGAACTCATGTCCCTTCTGAGATTCGAACCCAGATCACCCAGTGCTGAGGTCAGAGACGTTACCACTGAGCTATTCGGGCTCGCGATTGACCTCCTGTAGGACTGTATTGGATATTTTTGATTGGACACTAGTCAGTAACTAGTGTAATGTGTTTAGTCCTATCTCCGGTGCATTCTGAATTCTGTCAGTCAAGTCTGTGTATATGTTTTATTTACATCTTGATTACAATGCTTTAATTCTTTAGTATTTTCCTCTCTTCCTCTTTTGTGTTTAGGGTCATACGACAAGTTTTTCTATTACTGCTTAATACGTGTGCCGAGTCGGTACCTCGGGTCACCATGGAGTGGGATACCAACCATCATCGTTGGTGATTGATCGTTCCTGTACCGCCGGCTTTATAACGAAGCCGGATAATGAGTCCAAAGCAAACCTTATTAACAGACAGATATGGAATTCCATATAAGTTTGTGTACAAACTCATCTATGAGCTTGCAAAGCCTTGTTCACAACTGTACTACAATCTGCGGTTATTTCTAAGTTATATTTGAGCATAATTCCAAAATCCTTTCGTTCCTTAATCGTCTGATGTTCATTATCAACAGAAACTAATGTTTTCATAGTAAAACGTCACCGATCAGTGACTATTCTGTTATGAATTACAAGACCCAGGCTATAGAAGGGATACAAAAGTCTCGGGAACCCTTATTTCTTAAATGGGAGATTGTTTGACCTCATCAACAAGCAGTGTGAACAAACAGTCTCCTAAAAATTAATCCTGACAATCTGTACCTGCACATGTTCACATACTTGTGAAAGTGGCGCTCATCGGCCTTCACCTTTCAGGTTACTGAATATTCAGTGTTCAGTCTTCAGAAATATAGTCTATTAGATCTATTGTTCCTTTCAATTTTTTTACTTCATATTCGTTTTCACATTCATTGTTATCCTTAAATTTCACACTGACGAAGACGATATATTTTGTACTGTCATTATGTTTAGTTCTGAAATTGCCCTATACGAGAATCTGATTTCCATGTGGAATGAAAGAAATTTTTACCATCCTGCGAACTTCGGATGATTCACCTTTCTTGTGGTCTAGCAGAATAAATGACCCAGTTGTATCACCACTTAGTAGGCATAATATGAAACTGGTGTAGTGCACCTTAAATACTTGAACTTTTTGTTTTAACGCATTCATATGGTGCACTTTGCATCTTTGATGCCAGACATTCGGGAAACTAGTAGGCCAATACGTATTGGCGACAAACGTCGCTTCCACGTCGCCTCTTATACGTTACAGACCGTAACACTGGGACACGCCTCCTAGTTGACACCGGGGCAGGGGCTAGCGTGATTCGACCCACAACCGAAGGGCGCCTGCGAACAATATCTTAACAGCTCCGCGTAGCAAAAGGTTCGCCTATCACAACGTATGGTAGAAAGTTCCTAAACCTTAACACTGGCATGCATCGCTCATTTCGCCGGGTTGTTATTGTGGCAGATGTGTTCACCGGTATCATTGGTATGGATCTTTTGCAGCAGTATCAGTTACTAGAAGATGCCGGCAAACACAAGTTGATCGATTCATCCACAAAGCTAACAGTCTATGGTATTGTCACGCACAGTCCTCTCTAGTGTATTTGACTTTTGCTATTACTGGCCCACACTCTGACGTCCTTCAGTCTTTCGTCAACCTTTTCAAGCCATCGGTGGCGCAGTGGTTAGGACTCTCGCCGACCATGCACATGGTCCGGGGTTCGATCCCCTGCCGGCGCACACCCGATATCTATGGTCGGCCTGAATTTGGGCTACCGATATCCATGCTGAAAATTCCACACTTGTACTGAAAATACGGTGTGAAATCAAGCTGTACATCAAAAAAAATCTACCGAATTCCCATGCAGGGCTTCTAATGTCACTCATCACATTTTAACTGCCGGCCCACCTGTTTTTGTAAAGCCACGGCATTTATCCCGAAAAAAATTCCGAATAGTTAAGCCAGAGTTTGAACAGATGTTAGCTAGGGATAATCCGACAATCTAGCGGTCCGTGGTCTTTACCGTACAAATAGTGCCCAAAAATAAGGGGATGGACTGGAGACCTTGTGGTGATCACCGCGGGCTCAACGCTCAGACTGTTTCGTGTCATCATCCTGTCCCAAACATGCACGATCTGACATCTTCTCTCAAGGGTGCTACAGTGTTCAACAAACTTGGCGTGACGAAAGCTTACCGTCAAATCCCAGTTCGCTATGAGGATGTACCTAAAACAGCAGTGATTACTTCGTTTGTCCTCTTCGAATTCCTTCGAATGCCTTTTGGTCTTCGCAATGCAGCTCAGAAGTTCCAGCGTTTCATCCACGAAGTCTTGCGCGGATTGGGTTACAATTATGCATATCTGGATGATGTACTCGTGGCTAGTCCAGATTAAGAGACTCACCGTGTTCATTTGAAGGTGGTTTTCGAGAAACTTCTAACATGCTGTTTGATACTCAACGTGGATAAACGCCGGAATGGTGTCCGTTCGTTGACTTTTCTTGGATCTGTAATTAATGAATATGACATTCGCCCTTAACCTGGAAAGGTGCAGACAATTGAAGACTTCTCATAGCCGATGTCCCTGAAATTTAAATGCACGTTTCTAGGTAAAGTGAGGTAATACCGTCATTTTGTTCCCCAATGCGCGCATGTTTTAACTACACTCACAGACCGCCCCCAATCGGGCGGCGGTTTTTTAAGAAGCAAATTGTTCAGTATTTGCTTTCGAATGACTTAATATCCCCTTTCCAATACGGTTTCTTAAATAAAAGGTTGTGCACCACTTACCAGTTAGATTATTTCGACAACATAACTGAATGTGTAGACAAAGGCCGTTTGGCAGCAACGCTATTTCTAGATGTTAGGAAAGCTTTTGATAAGGTCCCACATAAGAGACTCATACTGAAACTCCTATCTTATGGAATTAGTGGAAGGCTACTTGAGTGGATAACTTCCTCTCTAACAGGAAGAGAACAGTTAGTAAAAATCAACCATCACTTATCTACATGAAAACCAATAACCAGTGGCGTGATACAAGGTAGCGTTCTTGGTCCTACTCTATTCATTATATTCATAAATGATATTGTCTCTGTGATCAAGTATGGCGAACCGTAAATTTTTGCAGATGACCTCAAAGTTGTATATGATTTTGACTATAATGATATAAATATTGCTAGTAAAATCCAACAAGACCTAAATAGTCTATGTAACTGGAGTGAAAAGTGGCAGTTAACGTTCAATACAGCTAAGTCTGGGATAACATACTTCGGACGTTAGAAACCCAGCATATGTTTATACATGTACGGTGACCTTGTTTCAAACACGAGCACCGTCACAGATCTCGGTGTAACATACTCAGATCTTACCTTTACTGAACATGCAAATAAGGTGGTATCTGATTGCAAACGTCTCCCCGGCTTTGTGCTACGCACCTTTTATACTCCAGAAGCCATATCGGCTATATATAAGATATGTATTCGCCCCAAACTTGAATACTGTGCCCACTTATACAGAAGCTTTAAATCAGCAGACAGCAAAAAAGTTGAAAGTGTCCAAAGATTCCCGACGAAACGCATATTAGGCTATGATCAGCAAATAGAACACCTTGACAGATGTATTCGACTGGACTTAGAACCCTTATGGTTAAGGAGAGTGAAGTGCAACTTATTTCTCTTATTCAAAGTTATAAGAAAGCACTGTAACAGTAACTCATCCATAACGTGGGCTAATCTTAAATCGTATGAACTACGCAACCATGAATACCTTCTCAAGGTTGACATCCATAAACTCACCACTAAAGCTAACTTTTTCACCATTAAATACTGCAAACTTTGGAACCAATTACCCTCTGAGATTAGATCCTGTGAAAAGCCTGGCAGTTTTAAAAGGAGCCTAGAAAAACATATTAACATGTCCACCCTAGCCCGTCTAAAAGATCACAACTGCTGGTAGAGTGGTGAAACAGTGACATTTCAGTATTTAACTACTGAAAGCACACTAGTCCTAACACTAATATAATAATACTTAGTAATTATGCATAATCAATTCTTGACATTTGATTGTCATTACAATACTTAAAATGATTAAAATATTTATGCGGCAAATGTTCTCTTGCTTTACCACGCTTGTTTCCCTTAAAACACTCAATTATTGAGCTTAATGTATTCCTTGATAATAAGAATTATAATATTGACTTCACTCATATCATATATAGTTTGATTTACTTTACGGCTCCCTGTAGGACTAATTGCGCTTCTTCAGTATACACATACTTCAGTATTGTTAACCAAATGTTAAAATTTTGTTGGTTCTGTGTCAATATCTTTCTATAATATGTGTAGACAGGTTACTTTGCAATGTCAAATGTTTACTATATAAAAGACTGTCATGATAATTTAGTATAATAAGTCCTACCA